AAACACGTCGGTGTACGTTAAATTAATTATATCTATATACAATTTTGGAATTGATTTTTATCGAACGTTATTTCCTGTACCTATGAATGTTATTTTTATTGGGTACGCCTATATGAGTTGCCCGCCATTTTTTTTCTTTCTTTTTTTTCATTTTATTGATACGCGTATTTGAGTTGTCCTACCTGATATTTTTTTTATCGGATACGCGTATATGAATTGCCCTCCCTGATTTTTTTTTCTTAAACAGTGAAATTAATAACAACCGGCCTAGATTTAGAAGTCTTACTAGCGAGTCGAACCTGTGTCCCTTTTTCCACTAGGAGAACCGCTTCTATGCCCGAAACGTAACGTTACCAATTCGGCCACGGAGACCGCGTTGATAGAGCAAAGTTTGAAGTACCCATATAAGGAAAGCACATTTCTCGTTGGGACTTCTATCAATTTATATGTGTTAGCTTCAGTTTCGTACCAGAAATAAAAACAACAGTCATTTTGTAATTGATTTTCTGTCCGACGTTGTTTTTAGTGGGTACATGTATTTGGATTGCTATCTCACTTTAAGCCGGTTGTTAATAATTTCTATATTTAAGAAAATACAGAGATATTCTACACCTCTGAAGTAAAGTGTATTTTTTCTTCTACACTTTGAAAGTGTAGTAACATTTTCCATTCCACTTGTCCTCCAGTGTGAATGTGAACTGATTTTTTACCGAGTTTTTTCAAAACAATATGAAATATTTACTGCTCAGCTAGATCGAAACATGAATTATTACATTTGCCTTAGTCTTGTACAGGGGTTCCCAACCGATTTTGAGTCATGTCCCATTTTGGTATTTCTAAAATTCTAATGCCCCCCCCCCCCGCGTCCCGTAATATTTAATTCTTATATATTCAAAATTTTACTGAAATTCACGTGAAGGAAGCTTAAAAGGCCATTAACTTTGTCTTTAAACAAGCCTTCAAAGACCATGGCGTTAATGAAAGAAAAAAATTAAAAAAAGAAAAAGACAGTTAAATATAAATAGTTTCAAAACATATAATAAAGAACTGAAAGGCAGAAATATAAAATATTTGAATGAAAGCTTTATTCTGTAATATACTTTTGATCATTTTAATCATAAAATAATAATGCAAAATGAAATTTGAGCTCACTAGAAAACAATTCACTGTTAATAACTCATTGTCGAATTGCCCCCTTATTCTGTTGGTATAGTAAGCCGAAGGGTGCACATTCTACGCATGCCCCACCAAAATATTACCATGCCCTACCTGTGGGGCATGCGCCCCACGTTGGGAATCATTGGTCTAGCATCAAACGACATTTTAGGGAATCATATTACCCACACCTCCGAAACATTAACGTCGTCTTTATGAATCGTTTGTATGATCATTTATTGTCAGTAAGACACCGAGAGCTCATAAATAAGTTAAGAAATTGAGTGGAGTCGGCTTAGAAGTAAAAAAAATCCCTAAAAATTCCTTCAGTCGTTCAGCAGACTTGACAAATTAAGATCGATATGAACTTGAGTAAAGTAAGTTCACTGATATCGATCGAAGATTAGTTTGTTAAATTTCAGTTCCCATAAGCACAAACAATTCTAGAAAAACTGGAGAAAAATACAACAATGAATTACTAATGCAAACATCGACGCAGTGCAAAAATAACTCAATGTTCGCTAACATTGTGCGTATTGCGCATGTGTCATTTTCCGGGCAGACATGACAAACTGAATTCAACTCCTCCTCCTCCTCCTCCTCCTCCTTCTTCTTCTTCTTCTTCTTCTTCTCGTGTTCTCTCAGAACGTGGGCGATCATGGCTCTCTATATCTTCTTGTGCTTAGTAAAGTTTGTCTTTTGGCTATATCTCCTCTCTGTTCTGGCCTATGAGTATCATATTCTCCAAGCTGTCTTTCCTCCTTGTGTGCCATAGAAATTTCAATTGTCTGTTTCTGATTTTAAGTATAATTGTCATTTTTATTTTCATTTTCCCTCAAACTTCCTCGTTGCTCACTTTTTCAGTCCATGGGATTCTCAGCATCCTTCTGTAGAACTACATCTTTATTGCCTCAGATCTCTTCTTCACTGTCATATAAGAGGACTGATATTACATAAGAATTCAGTACTCTTTTCTTTGTTTCTAACGAGATTTTCTTGTTTCTTAATACTTTGCTTAGCTTTTGGAAGGCAACTTTTGTTATCTCAATGCGCTTTTGGCGTTTCATTTTCAGTCCACTTTTTATAGTTCGCATCTTGGGCCATTTCTTTTGCTGACAACCATACATTCTGTCTTTTTACAATTGATGCTTAGTCTTTTCTTCTCGCTTTCCCTTACCACCTTCTGTGAGAGTTCCTGTACTTTCCTTTCCGAATCTGTTATCAACACTGTGTCATCCAACATTTTAAGATTGTGGGTGCTAATAATGAATCCTGGTAGGACTTCTAATTCTTTCAGGATCGCCGCACTCTAAAGGCTAAATAAGTTCGGTGAGAAGGCACATCCTTGTCTTATGTCCTTTCTATTTTTGTGCATTTTCTCTCTGTATACAGGTAGTTTACCCCAAATATAAGTTCTGAATTATTCTAATATTTTCCGAAATAAATCAAAATTACCTAGCAGTTCAAACAGTTCTTTGTGTTGTACTTTATCAAACGCTTTTGTATAATCTATAAAATATAGGTATACATCCTTTTGCATTACTATTTATGATATCATTCCAAGTAAAAATACTGCATTTCTTGTTCCAGTATCTTTCTTTAACGAAGCGGCATTGTTCTTGTCCTATTCCCAGACTAATTCTGCTACGCGCTCTACTCATCAGAATTCGGATGATGAGTTTTGTTATGTGGTTCATTAGGCTGATTGTTCAATGGAGCTCGCGTTCATTTTTATACTGGCTCCTTAACCAACGCTAAGAAAACTGATCTATTTAAGTCTTCCAGTATATCACCATTGTCGTATATATCATTTATTATTTCTGTAATTATGTCAATGTCGAAATCATCAATTTGATCAGTGCTGATTTCACTTCAGATTTCAAGACATGAAGAACTGTGTTCTGGGATATTGTCAATTATCTGATAGGGTTATTGTAGTTAAACTGAGAGCAGTAGCGTGCAGAAGGGAGGCAGAGGGTGCGACGGACCCGCGCATCCATATCGAGATGGCATCCAATCAAAGAGTGAAATAAAAATTTAGTTTATATTTAATTTGAATAAAGTATTTATTTCATGTTTCATTTGCTTTTACATATTTAAAATGTCTTCATTTCTCAAATTTATCAGCCCTATAGACCCCCCACCTTGAGTCTTAGGGCATGCAATCAAGAAGTTGGCCCCGGGTATCACGAAACATCACCAAACCTCTGTACGTCATTGAATGAAAGGGACGCCTTTTAATATGTCCATTGTATTTTTGTATGCACCAACAGCACAAAGTACGGAGGAAGACATTAAAAATGCCACTGCACACTCAAGAAGTCTCAATTAAAATTGAATTTAACCATGTATCGTGAATTGATACCGCGTCTTCATCATCTCCTCCTACTCCTACTCCTCCTCAAGTGTCATATCCCTTCAAGATGTAGATTCTGGCTCTCCACAACATCTTTTTTAAATATCTATAAACTGTGCAGTATTAGTAAAGATAGTGTAGTGGATTTCGATTGTGATCTTTACAATCGTAAATTGAAAACTGTCCTTCTCCTAGACTGGTTAACAACCAAAGTCAGAGACTTCATTCTGAACTGCTATTTAAGCTAGAGTTTGTTGGACAAATTATGCCTCCCCCCCCCGGGGGGGATTAGTACGAAGGGGATATAAATTGTCTCAGCTGGGATTTGAACATTGATGCCATCTTCCTCATTGTTAACTGCTGTCCGCCTGTATTTCTCCCTTAAATATGTTAGTAAATTTAAAAAGATATGACTCAGAAGTTTTTATTATGATAAATAAACGCTGAAATTGTTTTCAACATCGCAGGAACTGTATTTAAGAAAATTATTATGCAAATTGGCAAATTTAAAAACTCATTTTTAAGTATAAAAGCCCCAGGTGTGTGTGTGTGTGTGTGTGTGTGTGTGTGTGTGTGTGTGAGAGAGAGAGAACCAAAATTACCGATAGTATTGTGCGATGTATGATTCTCTTTCCCTGCTGGTCATATAGCTAAATAAAAAACGTTAACCACTGGTCAATTAGATCATTACTTGGTTATTGAATTCTTGTACTTGGTTTGAAACAAATCCCGGAGCGAGTTTTTTTGTTTTTGTTTTTTTTAAATGCAATCGTTTTTTCCTTCATTGTTTTCATTAATAAGAAACGTTGTTTATAAAATTACCTTTAGCATTGCTTAATGTCTATTAGATGAACCAATCTTAAAGAATCAATATATGGCGTCACTCAACATCTTACGTGTTCTACTGAATTTTCCTCCTGTCGATATCAGACAAAAATCAAAATTGCGTTAGATTTTGTCTGTTAAAAAAAATAAATAAACATATGTATAGGTCTTTCTCCAGAATAATTTTATTGTTTACTGATATTAATTCGTTATCAATTAACTTGATCAAGCGTCTCTTGAAAATTACCTACTACGAGATAATAGAAATATTTCAGAGTTTTTTAAAAGATAGATTTTCTAATTGTGTAAAAAATTAGTTTCGTAAATTTCGCTAAGTTTGATTTGTATTTTATTTATTTATTTATTCATTTTATAATGTCAACTGTCAGTTACACCAAGTTTGAAGTTACCTTAAAACGTAACTAATGGTCGAAAATAACCACTGGCGGTAAGGGACGCAATGAAATCTAAAAAAAGACTTTGTGGTGCCGCACTTAAGCTAGAAATTTGTAGATTGTAAAAAGCAGGCGTTAGACTTGTTTATAACATCTCTAAGAAAAGAACAGATAAAAGGAAAGAAACAGGCGAAATATGATATGTTAATAATCTACCGTTTTATGAAGATGAACATTCTTTTAAAAAAAACATTTTTTTATCGTTTTAGGTTTAATCAAAGCCAAGAAATATAACTGGAAAGATTCGAACATGGAGCTGGTGGGCAGCGATGTAGATCGCGCGGTCAAAAGTAAGTTATGGATATTTTAAATTTGGTTGCCTATGTTATTTTTATTTCATATATTAATTCATAAATGGAAAGTATACAGCCATTTTGAATATTCTCGGTGGCTGGTTGTAGATGTATCGTATCAACAAATGAAAGAGGACCTTACTGCGCATCTGGCGAAGACATTTTTTGTGGAATGTCTCAATTGTGTATTGAGTAATTTTCACATTCAAAGCAAATATGCACCAAATTTTGCTTAAGAAGTTGGATAATCCTCCGCTGAATTTATTCAACAGATTAAAAAGACGCTCGGGAAGATCTAGCGAGCAAAGCACAGATAAAATATTAGAATCCGACGCTTTAAATTTGGCAGGGAATCCATTGAAGGCAATCCACATTCTGAAAGACCTGCAACAAGCGGAACACTTGATTACACTGGAGTTAAATTCAGTTAGCGTCAAAATAAAAACTATTATTGTTTCGTTCCCATCTATCCCAACTTGAAAAAGTTATGTATTTTATATGATATAACGGACATGCTACAAAAGGCGTGGCTCGAAATTATAACAGAGTCAGTGATGGTCCGTTTTAGTTTCATAACTGGATTCTGCAAGTTTCATTCGATATGTACCACCGAAGATGCTCAAGAAATCAAGTGTGTGGGTCACTTCTTGGCAAGTTGAGGTCAACCTTAAAAAAATTCACGCTATCGACATTTTCTTCTCTGATTGCCTTTCACCTCCAACCAACACTTGCAAAGCCAAACGGCGATAGGGAATGGATGACTGGAGCAGTTTTTGGTGAAACTGGAAGCTACAAATACTAAACCGGGACATTGGCGGCGAATTTTATCATCAATACCATCATCATAAAGGAAGTGATCAGCAAAAAAGACATGAAATTCTTGGATACGAGCTAAAACCGCCGCCGACAGTATATATATATATATATATATATGCACGAAGGGCTGCCGAAGCTCTTCCCCATAAAATTCTTTGATCATTTCCTCAAACTTTAAGAAATGTGTTGGGCCGATAACTTTCGACCACTGTTACACACACACACACACAGTGTATATATATATATATATATATATATATATATATATATATATATATATATATAATTAGAATGAATTAATATTTTTAGCTTGCATAGTTAATTGATAATCCATTTTTATACAGATATAATCACACATGTTGAAAAACAAATTATGCTCGCGAGCACGTACGTGCACATACACACATACACATATATAGATATATATCAGGCCGGGGGGTGAAAATAGATAAATATACTGTGTAATAAATAAACGGAGCGCCGACTCAAATACGAGTATCCGCTAAAAATTAACGTTTAAAGTGATAATACACACACACACACAGACATACACATACACACACACACACACACATATATATATATATAATGGATGTATTAATTTGGACGTGTGTGTTTGTGAGCGTAAATTGTTTTACTCGGAGATGACAGATTTATTATTTAATCTTTAAGAAAAGGAAAATGGAAATAAAGAAATAATCCGGCAAAAAAAAAAGGATTGTTCACTAATATATAGTTATTCGCAATGAAAAGTGTATTTGAATGACTCGGCTGCCTTTCATTTGGGAACACAATCTGATACAGCCATGCAGCCTCGCGTTCATTACCATTCGCGCGGACGTATGCAAAAATCAATTCTGCCAGCTCACGATATGAATATCCTACCATTTTTAAACGGAACACTTCTCAGTTAACTCGTTACTACACACGTTAAACGATGAAAACAGACTAGACACAAATATACACGAATGACAAATGTAACCTAGTCTACATGGCAAGACACCACTATCTACTGTAAACTTACATTAAACTTAATTCATAAACGAAAGATTTGCGGACATATGTTTATGTGGATTTTTTCCTTCTTTTGGTGTGAGGAACCCACTCGAAAGTTTCTAAAAGTATTTTTGATGCACCCTATATATATATATATATATATATATATTTGTTCGTCGTGGTCAGGCGTACGAGTGGATCTCCGTCTTCCTAGATCCATAGTTTGTTGTGCTACGGATCCTGTTTCAGCAACGTGGCGATAAACAGCAGCAAAGATTGAATGACTCGGCTGTCATGGGTCTGGAAATGCAATCTGATACGGCCGTGTAACATCATTTCCATTACCATTCGCGCGGCCGTATGTAAAAATCATATCTGCCTTCTCACGATATGAATATCTTGTCATTGTTAAATGGAACACTTCTCAGTTAACTCACTGCTACACACGTTAAACGATGAAGATAGAATAGTCATAAATGTACACGAATGACAAATGTAACCTAGCCTATACAACACCAACTACTGTAAACTTTCTTTTAAAGTAATTACTCAAAAAGGAAGGATTTGTGGACATATGTTTATATGGATTTTTATCCTTGATTTGGTGTGAGGAACCCGCCTCCAATGTTTTGATATATGTGTGTGTGTGTGTGTGTGTGTGTTGCAGGCAAACAAAAACAAATAGAACTGCATATTGTCATAGATTTAGCACCATTAATCACAAATTGCATTAGGACTCAGCAACCATTTCTGGTAAAGGACAAGACACAAATCGGATTACTTATGAGGAAGTATGAAAAGGCGTATAAACAAATTTTCATATTACTCTCTCCAAATCTCAGTTGGTACATTCTGATCGATTCTTACATCCAACTTCTGATGAGTCCTGTCAATGTATCCAGCATCGCACTGACATTTAAAGTAATATATCACACCGCTAACGTAATGGGAGTGGGAAAAATTCTTTTTTTATCGGTCGTCGGCAGGATACGTTTAGACTAACATTTGAGAATGCTTGAGACCCTGGGAAATAAACCCAAGCAAACTTTCCTCTGTACACAGAAGAAATGGTTGCTGGGTTTTAATGTAATCTGTAATCAATAGTACGAGCTATATGATAATATACGTGTATATCTGTGTGTTTTTTTTATTTTATTTTAATTTTTTTTTGCGGGGGTGATCTCAGCAATATATATATATATATATATATATATATATATATATATATATATATATATATATATAGTGTGTGTGTGTGCAAATTATTTTCAGATAGATTATATCTGTAAAGGAACAAAATGGTAAAAAAGAAACCAGAGGAAAAAAATTATTGATATCAGGGATAGAGTGTATATAAATGTAAAAGGCAACGTTTTTTTTTTTTTCATGCTAAACCAATCATCAGGCCATATATATATATATATATATATATATATATATATATGAATAAAAAATAACAATAGGAAAACTGGTAATTGCTGACGCGTTTCGTCCAATGTGGACTTTATCAAAGCAAAATACATTTTACATCAATCCTGATCTGGTATCTCGGCTTCAGTCACTTTCCCACCGCCGTAATGTAAGTTCCCTGTGCCTTTTCTATAAATACTTTTATGGTAATTGTTCTGGTGAACTTTCCACTATGGCACCCAGAATTTATGAATAAAATTGCAATACTAAATTGGAGGCAAGAGCTCACCATTTTACAGTTGAAATGGCGTAAGTTCTATGCTAACAGTTTCTTCACTCGTACTTTTCGCTGATGGAAATCTCTTTCAGCTTCTTGCTTCCCAGTCTACATTGATCTTCTAAAGTGTACAGGCAATGTCAATCATTATTTTCTCTCTTCTTAATTCCTGTCTTTTTATTGTTGTCTTTCTTTAAACTTCGTTTTTTTTTTCTCATATTCTTTCACACTCAGTAACCCTTTGCGTCTTAGTAACTTTATTGCCTTGCTTAAGGTGAAATGATTTAAAAAAACAAAAACAAGTTAAGTGAAGTTCAATCTAATCATATATCCACATCTTTTTTTATCTATTTGTATATTTCTTAAATGGAAAACATTTTCATTCTTAATTTTTTCACTAGTTTATATTCCATTTCATTTTTGTTGCTTTTTTCACAACATTCAGGTCGTTTCACATTCTACGACCATTAAGCAAGTAGCATTTAAAAATTTATGAAGCTGACTAGTTTTAAATTTACTTCGCTGTTTAGTCTTCATGGTTAAATCGGTAAAGGCGATTTTCAAATGGATTCTCAAAGATATGCAATGTGAAGAATTCCGATTTCTCATTTAATTGTCGTAGAATGTAAAATTGACCTGAGCGTTACGATAAAAGAATTGAATAATAATGACGGGAAACTAATAAAAATGAAATCGTTAACTGAATCATTTCTGTTTTTTCTTTGACAGAGGAAGCAGCACAGAAAGAGCCTATGTGGCAAGGAACCGGAGAAAGTCCAGGATTGAAAGTATGGCGGATAGAGGTCAGTTATATATTCTATTTCCGAATTTATAGCAATCTTCACGATTAGATTCTCTTTTATAATTTAATTATTCGCTATACTTACAGTTTTAATATGGATTTAATTGACACTCGGCGGATGATTTTATAGCTCCTGAAAATAGTTTTGAATTTCCAGCGAAATTGCATCGATATTTGGCTATAATTAAGAAAACTCTACAGTAAAAGGTTCCGTTTTTAGTCACATCATTTTAATAATAAAATAAAGTAAAAATGCTTACCTGCAGATTAGATAAAAAGGGTTCAAACGTGGATTTACCTTTTGCTCCGTCAATTTCAAGTAGAAATTAATGTTGACTAGTTATCTAATTTTACCATTTTTCAAAACTAACAACAGATCAGATTAAAGGAAATGTATATGATATCCAATCTCTGTTTATACCTTTAAGTAAAACAAAAAACTTAAGGTAGAAAACCATACTTTTATCAGTATTGCAAGTTGTTGTTGTTATTTTTATTTTGTGTTTTGTTGAATTCAATACATATCTCTTAGTTGTTGTTGCATTGCAAACATTTGTTTAATGGTATTCCTATGGCTGAAAGAGCAATTGGAAATATGATAAGCACAAATGCGGTTACTAATAATTGATAAAAAGTTTGTAGATATGGCTAAATAAGCTTACTAGGGTGGGGAAGGAAAACATAATTGTTGACTGATTGTAAAAGCTACCGTCAGTATATATATATATATATATATATATATATATATATATAATAAAGGTAATAAATCCGTTGGTATATAATTCAAGTGGATCCTAGTAATAAATATAAAATATTAAAACTGATCCACAAAATAAAGCTCAATATATTTGTTATTACAGAGCAAAAATTCATCTGACTGAAACATTGAAAGGGATAAAATCTGTACAGTGTAACCTAGATATAAGAGAGTTGTCGGGACCGGAGAAGAAGTCTCTTATATCCGGGTTTCTCTTATATCCGGGTTTGGTCTATTTTGTTTAGGTAAGTATGGGCTCTAATTTGGGACCAGATAAAATCTCTCTTATATTCGGGTTTCTCTTATATCCGGGTTATACTGTATTAGTTTTTTGACGTCGTTTTTGTAGCTTTCACAGTTAAATTTCTAATTCGACACGAATTCAGTCTATGCGGGATTTGAATAAGACTGACGAACTATATTTTCGTCGGTCAAAATAAGCTTATTCCCCATATGAGATGATTTTGGATTTTATTGTATATTATATATATATATATGTGTATGTGTGTGTGTAAGGGAAATCTATGACAAAATGGAGAAAAGTTTTGTCACGCGTTTAGCCTTAAGGACTTCATCGGGCTAACATGATGTTTACGTTGATGAAACTACACATGCGCACGAAGACGAGGGGACGCTGAAAAATTTTAATTTAAATTAATTTTTTAAAAATATATGTTTGATAGATACTATCTGTGTGTTCATTAATGTTGATTAATGTATACATTTCATAATTCAATTAATATTTTTCAATAATGCTGATCAGTGTATGCATTTAAATTCATTCAAAAAATGAACAAATCAAAATTACTGATGAATCGTAATATTCGAGTTATTATTTGTCAAAAATATTCTGCAAATTTTCAGAAAGTCTTTGGCAGACGACTGGAAAAATAATGCAAAATCTTTCGAAAATATTTTGATGCTTTTATAATTTAATTAAATGGCAGAGTTATTTCAAATATAAAAGAAGTTTCATTCGAAGTGTCTAAAAACATTTTCTTCTGAATGTCTAAAAGGTTTCATTGTGAGTGCTAAAATCTGTTTCATTCTGAAGGTCTAAACCCCGTTTCTTGCTGAGAGCTTAATTATATATAAAGAACTTTTTTCAGTTTAGTTTCAATGATCCTTGCATTTTCGATATGACAATCAACTATATACTATCTAAATCTCTCTCTCTCTCTCTCTCTCTCTCTCTCTCTCTCTATATATATATATATATATATATATATATATATATATATATAGATGGTTGGATAGATGTGAGTGTGTGACCCTAGGTTTCACGCTTTGCGATCGTCAGACAAACTGATTAATGTTTTAAAAATTTGGGTTTATGTAGATTGCGTGTATTGGTGTTATTGTGGAAGTGGTGGGAGAAATTTCGTTTTCGTTTTACATGCAATCTACATAAACCCAAATTTTTAAAACATTAATCAGTTTGTCTGACGATCACAAAGCGTGAAACCCAGGGTCACAAACTCACATCTATCCAACCAAATATGTTAGCTCTATCTCTGATATTGAGCGCTTTCTAATAAGTACCATATAATATATAAATAATTATACATACTTATATTTATTTATATTTATATACACTTTTACACACACACACACACATATATATATATATATATATATATATATATATATATGTATGTATATATAGGATGGCAGATTCCCGAATAGGAATTCCTCTCTCTCTCTCTCTCTCTCTATGTATATATATATATATATATATATATATATATATATATATATATATATATATATATATATATATATATATATATATGTATATTAGAAGGAAATTCTTATTCGGGAATCTGCCATCCTCTATCTTAAAAACAACTTCAGAGGCCGTTTGATCAACACAAGGACTGAGCAAAATTAACGATAAAAAGCAAATGAAAACTACAGATTTTTTCAGAAAGTCATTCACTCCTTTAGCTCACTGCTACTAACAAGCAGGGATTATTTTCTCCTGATGATGGCCATGCTGACCGAAACTAGTCGAGGAACCTAACTGAAATAATAAAACAAAAAAAATATTAATATACAACCCAGTGTCTCTGTTATTTTTAATTTTTTAATATTTTTTGTTGAAAACACACACACACATACACACACACACACACACACACACATATATATATATATATATATATATATATATATATATATATATATATATATATATATATATATATATAAAACCTTTTGTACCAACGTGTTTGGTTTTTGAAAAACTTTATCAAAAAAAAATGTAGAAATTTCTCAAGGAGCGAAACGCTTTGGTATAAAATGTTTTGCTCATGTCATTCTTTTTATTAATTTTGTCTTTTCAAATACATTTATTTGTATTTGAATTTTACATGCACACACACAGACACACACATTTTATGTATTTATCGATCCCGCAACGTGGTTTCTTTACTTAATAATGTGATAATCCGGTGTTAAAGCAACCTGAAACATTGCAAGGAACAATTAAAATTGAAATGCACTGTAGTACCATAATAATGGAATGTCTTATTATAAAGAAGAGATTAACTATATATTGTTTTGTTTCATGTTAGTTTGATTTGGTTAAAAATAGTCAATTTTAAGATGTTTATTGAATTGCTCGTCATTGACTGGAACCTTAGATTATAATATAATATGTGACAATAGATTTATTAGTTATATATAAAAATTGTAAAGAAAATATGCAAAATAAATATTCACAGCTTTTTTTTTACAAAAGTTGCAAAATTTCATTCTTTTCTTTCATCACGAGAAACGCCAGCGTAGCGGAAAAAGTACTAAAATTTCATTATTGAAGTATATGCACAAATACACACACACACACGTATTTCTTTCTTTCATTTTTGATCTTGTGAAGCCTAGTAAGGGCGTAACGCGTAAATCTAATTTCAAGGAAACGGTTTTTCATTTATATTCTTCAAACTTTGTCAAGATTCTATATCCAATTTCATATTTGTATAATAAAATTGAGTTTGCTATCTTTTCTAACAGAAATTCATTGTAAAAGAGTGGCCCAAGGAAGAATACGGACGCTTCTATGATGGTGATAGTTATATTATCCTTAATGTAAGTATTAAAACATACAATCATTAAAAATGAGTATTATGAATTGTCTTGCAAGCAATATTAACAATATACGTTTTCTTGGGTAAATAATCTTTAGTCTTTTAACGCCATTTGCTCTCTTCTGAATATTGGCGAAAATGAAGAGAGAACAAATTTTTCAACACTTATTGAAAAACTCAGAATCGAACCAACCATATTCACATCATCTTCGACTTGGTGTAATGGTTGTCTCGCTAGATCAATTACGACTGAGTTCGATCCACACTTTCGATATTGTCTCACATTTAAGCTACGCTTAGAAAATCATTCGGGCACTACTACGTGGTGTACTGGTTAGCAAGCGTGTCTTGCTAGATCAATTACGACTTAGTAGTGAGTTCGATCCTCAGTGGGCGCTCCAAATTTTCGGCCTTATGTCATATCTAAGTTGCGCTTAGAAAATAATTTGGGGAATTTCGACGTGGTATAATGTTTAGTAAGCTTGTCTTCCTAGCTCAATTACGACTGAGTAGTGAGTTCGATACTCACTGGGTGCCACGTACTTTCAGCCTTGTGCCACATATCGGCTTCCCATAGAAAACAACCATATTCTCAATATTATGCTTGACCACAGACAGCCATCCAGGGTTCAATAAAAAGCAACATTGCTATTTCTTACTTCTCAATATGTATTATTATTCAAGAACTATTAACAGACAGGGATGAGTGGAATTATCTCCCTTTGATGAATTTATAACCAACTGCTTGTATTCTTGTCGTTATATTTAAATTAATGTTTATTTGTTGAAACTACGTTGTCTTTTTCTATTGGATTTTATTCTTTCAACAAAAATCATGGGATTATTTTAAACTGCCGAATTACGAGCAGTCCCGCAACAATATTTTATGTTATTGTATCGAATCCCGACATTCCGCATTTTGGCATTCAACGAAAAATCGAGTAGAAGGATTCCTACAAATTAATCCGATGAGATGTTGAAGACTTCTAGGCTTGATTCACTTCCTAATAACCAAATATCAGAACACTGATTTTGGAAAATGAATCGAGCCAAAAATTTTTCAATGTCTCCTCGTAATTGTATACATGCTTTATATGATTCTGAAATGAGTTCTTACGAGTTGTTCAGATGAGAAATATCTTATTTTGTTTTAGAAAGCCTTAAATGGATTAAGAATCCAAGTGTGACCACTGACTGTCGTAAGCGGTTCAGTTATACAAATTACTTCTTTTTAGGACAAATACATGTCTGCGTAATTTTCAAAAGGCCCAAGTTAACAATCACCCTTTTTACATGACTTTTTTTTACAATTTTGAAATAAGTAAACTGTCATCTTGATATAAACGATATTCTGATAGAAAAAAAACTATTTGTGAAATTAAGCCATAGTATTTAAAAAAAATTGTAATGTACATTTTTATTCTGAATTTTTATCTTTTATGTATTTTTCATTTCACAGTAAATGCTCTTATACCCTTCTAACATAAAATATGTAATATATTACATATTTTGCGTCTACATTCACTTTACACATATTTCGTCTATTTTAACACACACACACACACACACACACACACACATATATATATATATATATATATATATATATATATATATATATAACAGGGTGTCCCTAAAGTTCGTGTGCACTTTAAAAAAAATTATAACTTTATTTGTATCTGCGATAGAAATAATCTGTAAAAAATGTTATAAAGTTTAATGTACTTAGTTTTAAGTATAGCTAAAATAACTAATGTGATTTCAGGCATTACTGTAAATCAGTTGGCAAATGTTTTCCGTGAACTGCAAAATCGTATTACCCTTTGTATTGCTAATGATGGAAGACATGTCGAAACTTAAATAAAATTTCAATAAAACCTTAAAAAATATAGATTTACTTCTTTCTAATCTTTTTTTACAAATTATTTCTATCGCAAATACAAATAAAGTTATAATTTTTTTTTAAAGTGTACACGAACTTTATGGACACCCTGTATATAAAAATGAACATTGAAGTCAACACTCAGAGGTGACAGACTGTTTCATGCTAGACACAATCATCAGACCTTATGAAACAGTCTGTCGCCTCTGAGTGTTGACTTCAATGTTCACTTTTATATTTACATACGCACTATCTTCGATAGTAAGCACTTTATCCCATAAATATAGCACACCTTAAAACTATATGTCTTCATTCATATATATATATATATGAAGAAAAATTTTTGAAAAAACAAACAAAAATCCTTAAATGTAGTTAAAATGAATGAAATGTCGACGTCTGACGTTTCGGTTTAATAAACCTTTTTCAAGACGTCGACATTTCATTCATTTTAACTACATTTAAGGATTTTGTTTGTTTTTCAAAAATTTTTCTTCATTCTGTCGGATTTATATCCATTTACACTTGCTTATATATATATATATATATATATATATATATATATATATATATATATATATACCTGTGTTTTGTATTTTCAGAGCTACTTGAAGAATGATAAGCTGTATCATGACATTCATTTTTGGATCGGCAAATATAGTACTCAGGTATGGAATATCATTTCTCCTTTGAATAAATTTACAATAATAATTTTGACTTTTGAGCGATTATTTAGAGCTGGGATTTACAAAGTAGATGATACACCGTTTGGGGTCAGTGGAAAAATCCAGAGGGTGGTAAGAAGAGGCAGTTTGAACAAAGGAGTAGCAAAATGACACAAGTGAGGAATTTGAAGAAGTAGAACCAAGTAATTTTATTCTATTTTATTTTTTTTTTACAAATTCTGTGTAACAAAATCTAAATTACTTAGACTTAAAGAACATGTATGAACTAAACATTGATTGCAAGAAGACAGAATGTACGGTTGTTAGTAAAAGAAACAGCCCAACATGGAAGTTACAAATTAGAAATACCAAAATCAAACAAGTACAATTTAAATATCTGTTAAGTGTTTTAACAGAGGACGAAAAGTACAACACTGAAATCTGAAGGCGCATTGGGATAGTGAAAGATGCCTTCTAAAAGCTAAGCAGAGCATTAAGAAAGAAAAATTTCGCTATAAATGAAGAAAAGACTCTTCTTTTATGTGTCGTGTCCCTTTAGGATGTAGGCGATCATGGGTCTCCACTTCCTTCCATTCCTTATAGCTCTCAATAAGTTTTGTCTTTTATCTTAATAACATTAGATATGTGGATGACATTGTGTTTTTCTAAAAGGAAACTACAAGAACTACAGAAGGTAGTGAGAAGAAAGTGAGAAGAAAGGATTAAATTGCAAGAAGAGAGAATGCATGGTTGTTAGGAAAAGGAACAGGCTGACATGCAAATTACAAATTAGAGAAACCAAAACCAAACAGGTACAAAAATTTAAATATCTGTGGAGTGTTTTAACAGAAGATGGAAAGGGTTACACTGAAACCTGAAGCTGTATTGGGATAGCGAAAGTTGTCTTCCAAAAGCTAAGCAAAGTATTAAGAAACAGGAAAATTTCATTAGAAAAAAGAAAAGAGTACTGAACTGTTAAGTCCTCAATGCTATATATAGCATTCACTGCTGGACAATCTCCTCATAGATGAAGAAGAGACTTGAAGCAACAGAAATGTGGTTCTATAGAAGGATGCTGAAAGTACTATGATCTTAACATGTGACCAATGACAAAGTTTTAGAGAAAATGGAAACAAAAAGGACATTTATATTTAACATCAGGAAGAGACAGTTGAAATTTCAAAGACACATAATGAGGAAAGAGGGCTTAGAAAATTTGATACTCACAAGACAGATTGAAGGCAAGAGGGATAGAAGAAAATAATGCCTAACCTACCAAGTGAGCTTGTGTAAATGGATTTTAGAGTTTAGGAGAGATAACAAAGAAGGAGAAAAATTTAATTAGAAACAAAGCATACGAAACTGCTATGTAATATCAGTCCTTCTATATGGCAGCGAATGCTGGACAATCTCCTTACAGATGACGAAGAGACAGAAATGTAATTCTACAGGAGGATGCTGAGAATACCACGAACCGAATATGCGAACAACGATGAAGTTTTAGAGAAAATAGGGACCAAAAAGACTCTTATACTTAACATCAGAAAAAGACAGTTGAAATTTCTCGGGTACATAAGCAGGGAAGAGGGTTTGGAAAATTTGATACTCACAGGACAAATTGAAAGTAAGAGGGACAGAGGAAAACAATGCATAATCTACCTAGAAAGCTTGAGTAAATGGATTGCAGTGCAAGGTTTACGACAGATAACAAAAAAAAAAATTTATTAAGCGCTTTAAAGAAGGGGAAATTGTGGAGAGCCATGATCGCTAACATCCCGCAAATGAAAGAAGAAAAATGAGCTTGAATAAATGAATGGAGAAGCAAGGTTTAGGAGAGATAACAAAAAGACAAACATTATTAAGAGCTACAAAGAAGAGGAAATGGTGGAGATCCATAATCACCAACGTCCTGAAGGAACATGGCACATAGAAGAAAAAGACAAAGAATAAGATTAATATTAATGTTAAACATAAATGCATGATTTAGGTTGGGTTCAAACGTTTGCTCGTATCTTGCTAACGTTATCTGGACAGGAAGCACCAGACGCCATTCAAATCAAACGATGTCGGCAGAGGTCAATATTTTAGGTGTGGCAATATAGCCACTAATATTCGTCTGGTAAAACCTTATTGAATAACATCTAAGAAAAGTCAATATATATATATATATATATATATATATATATATATATATATATATATATACACACATTTTAATGTATAAGATTAATTGTAGTTTTGAATTTACATTTTACCTTAATTTTTTAAAATATTTTTTACCCAATACAGAGCCCATGAGGCACTCAAAGTAGATGGTTATTAAATGAGGTTATTGTAAGGGTGTATGAGGGAGGTGCATATAATGAGGATATATAGGACAGATAACAGTTGACCCTAGATTTGAAAGGTTCAGTTTATAGTGGTCAGGGAAGCATCTTCTTGGGATTTACTTTCACAATGCAACAGTTCTAGGTAAGCAACTGTTTGAATGGAACTTCTTCTTTACCAATGGAATATGAAGGGAATGAGGATTAGTCGACTCAGTATCTCTGCGCTGGCGGTTCCTTGCTGTGAAGTTTCTGAAATGATTGGACCAAGGAATGTAGCTTATGCCAATGAAAATAGCGATCAAGTAGCGCGTGGCTAGCAATGTTTCACCTGTGGGAAAGGGGTCATATAGGGGAAAACAATCCATCACCCACAAGTCAGCGTAAGCGCTTTTGAACTTTGTCAAGGCTGGTAAGTGAGGATTGGGTAGCTCCAGCCAATACTCCATTTTTTGTTAGTCTAGGTACTCTCTGGAGTGGTACAACGAACAGACAATTTTTTCTATCCTGGTATTATATAGGAGTTTTACTTGAGGTCTGGAGAAAGAAATGTCTGCATATAGGTGTTGGAGGACGTGCTGGGAATGTGGCCTGTGAGCTAAACGGGGTGGCAGTTAGAAAAACGTTTGGGAATCACTGATTTAAAGGAACGAAATCTTCATCTATGGGTTAACTGGTGGAGATCCACAATCGTTAGCTTCATTACATGAACGTTAGCTTTAAAGTATGCTACATAGGTAATGGTTTTTTTTTAAGAGTGGGATATCCATTGTCAAATACTCTTTCCACGTTATTTTACAGTTTGACTATTTTTAGAATTTTTTTTTATAGCATGTGATCTTCCTGAATACATTTTTGCGTGAGATTTGTTGTAACTCTCGTAGTAAAATCACATTATCCCTCAAAAGAAATAAGCAACCAACATTTTCAAAAACTTCCGTTGTTTCCAGACAAAATCCTGCCTTCTTTATGATTGGTCAAAATAATTGTTACGTCAGAGATTTTTCTAAGCCCACTTCTTGTTTCAGAGTCAGTTTGATTGGGGTCTGAAATCTTAAATAAATGATAACTGCTTGATCAATGAACGATGTAACTGAGAGTTTGAAAATTGGACACCTAATAAAAATGAAGGAAAACTATAAAAAAAAAAAACCTATTACAAACAACTCAAAATAATTCAGTATTCTCTTTTATGCGCAAGGTGTGAGCGATCATGTCTCTCCACAACTTCCTGTTGTTTGTAGCGCTAAGCAATGTTCGTCTCTTTACTATTTCTCCAGACCTTGTTCTGCTATCCATTTCCACAAGCTTGTTAGGTAGATTACACACTGAGGAAACATTCACTAGAAACAAAGAAAAGACTGATGAACTGTTATGTAATATCACTATTCCTATATGACAGTGAATGCTGGATAATTTCCTCACAGATGAAGAGGAGAGTCAACAGAGATGTGATTCTACAGAAAAATGCTGAGAATACAAATGGATGAGACATGTGAGTTTTTGGTAAAAATGGGAGCAAAATAGATACCTTTACTCAGAAAGAGACAGTTGAAATTTCTGGTACATGTACCGCGGAAAGAGTGTTTGGGGAACTTAACACTCACAGGACTTATTGAAAGCAAAAGGAACAAGAGAAACTTTATTTATCAAATATTTTAACAACTGAAATTTAAAAAATCATTATAATACTGAATTTAGTCGATATTCATGGGTCTGGCTGTGGAATCAAATCATCATAAAAAGTTTATTTAAAATGGCAGATTTTCTTGAGTTTTCTATTCAGATTTCGGTAAAAAAAATTTCATAAGGACTGAGAATAATAGTGAGTAAACATGTCAAACAGACCATTTCAAGTATAATACGAACCTAAGCCTTTAGTTTAGGCCTAAATGGATTTAATAAACTTCTAGTGAAAATTAAAAAAAAGCCTGAAACTTAATATATGAAATTCGATAATAATTAAAATGTGAAAAATATCTTGTTTCTCAAGTTCAAACAAAAACCTTTATTAAAATCAGGATAATATACGTATTTTAATCTACGAGAGTGAATCAACAAGTCCGTAACTTAACGTATAGTTATTAGCTAAATTCTAATCTGAAATTTTCACTGTATAATGTATGATTATTTATACGATTTACATTGTTCAGACTGTTGTCCTCATCTTTGTTGTCATATTCACGACGTTTCGACCGTTGTATACTCCGGCCTTCTTCAGGTGATTGGAATTTCGAACTGAAGGCTTTATTTCGTCCACCAGATTTGCTCTAGTTCCAGTTCTTTGTCATTAATGTCCACTACAGAATTAAGCGCATTGACAAAGAATGAGGTTGGATTGAAAAATAAATATTTGTTGTACAAAATAAATTAATTTCTTAACATTAGGCTTATGAATATATCTACATAATAATCTTTATCTCTGGTTCTATGTATGCGTGGGGATCCTTACTTTCATCTCGGCCTTGTGCCACTTCCGTTCGTGTGGGCTTACAGATATATACCTATGTAGTAATCTTAATGCTATTAGCAGGTCGTATTGGGTTGTCTAACACGACGAGTAATATAGAAGGATTCTTAATATGACAGTAAAGTGAGCGCATGTCACAAACTTTTGTCAAAATACTAACAGGGAGAAGGGAGAAAGTAATGTAACTCTCATCTAAAATTCTAACTCTGTTCACCAGATTGATTTTCCGGGTTGATGATCGTTACGCTCAGTTGCATTTTCAAAATTTGAGGGTTGCATGGTGATCAAAGCTTTCGAAATCATACAAAAGTACGTTCAATATTAATAACTTGTTATGATGACAGTGTCTGGCAAAAAAAGAACGTTTTCAACAATTTCTTTCTTCCACCAGGATGAATACGCGACAGCAGCATATAAAACAGTTGAATTGGATACGTATTTGGATGATGTTCCCGTGCAACACCGAGAAACCCAAGGATACGAATCCAAGTTGTTTCTCAGTTACTTCAAAAGATATGAGTGAGTATATCCAAATTTGATATTAAAGTACAACAGAGAAGTATTAATTATCACCCAAGAGGCAAGATACCCCCCATATATATATATATATATATATATATATATATTGAGGTCTATTGTCTGCTTCGTCTGTGGCATTTATTTGCACCGACTGAGTGTATCAGTAGTTCCGAAAAGTGTGGAGGGTTCTGCACAAGCCTTCACCACTTTAATCAAATCACTTGGGTGGGGTTTTCTGGCGGTTTACTTTGATTCGTTCATTCTTATACTGCTTGTCTGAATCGTCTTCAAGAAGCGAGAACAAAATCTAAAAGGTCAGCCAATCTAACAGTGATCGCATCCCACAATCCTCACTCCATATGTGGCCTCCTTTGTAAATCACTAGCGGGTCTTAAGTGCCACTTAAAATTATTGCACTAATTTCATAACTGAATAAATTAAGTTGTCAGATCCTTGTATGTCGAAACCGACGGGAGAGTTCATTATTATATATATATATGTGTGTGTGTGTGTGTGTGTGAAAAATTGATAATAAAATAAAAAAGTTAATAAAACGAGTCCAAACAAAAGGGTACCAATATAATCTGTACGATAAACATTTATTAAATATTAATTATTAACCATATGAAAGAAATGAAGCACGGAAAACGGGAATTACTCACTGACAGATGTTTCTGTAGATAGGGTATTTTCCAGTGGAAATCGTATTGTCAGCAAAAACCCGATCTCTGTCTGATTCCTTGATGTGCGAAACTTTTTTTATGAATATAACCTTATATATATATATATATATATATATATATATATATATATATATATATATATATATATATATAGAGAGAGAGAGAGAAATATTGTGTATTTGGGTAGCAATCCCTCTTTTATAAAAGTTTCGTTAAAGACGACTGACAAGGCATTGCGATTAAGCTTTTTAATTTAATTTTATTGTGTCCACGCAAGTGTTTTCTTTTAGAACGTAAAGTGTAAATATATATATATATATGTGTGTGTGTGTGTGATGGGAGAGAATATGATTTACAAATTTTATATATAAGATTAACAGTGGGTAATTGAATAACAAAATGTAAAAATAATCCTATGTTACGAGTTTCGTCCTAAATGTCTTTTTGTTTTGTTTTTTTTTTTTATTGCTGGAATCATATACATGTAGGGCAAGGGAACGAAATGCAACAAATGTTGATTACAATTCTACATTGAGAACATACTGAATATGCTTAACTTTAAATTCAAATTCTTTACTGTCCGTTATGTGAAAGCTGAATTCAGTCGGCATGTTACGTATCTAGACATATTGGTTGCCAAAATTTTAATCTAAACGACTCTTCATATTCAGCGTTTTCCTCAATGCAAAATTGTAACTACCATTTTCCACACGAAAAATCATTATGCCACCCACGCATCCTCCATGATGAGATTCGTCGTAGTAATTACATGATAGATAATAAAAAAAAAAAAAAGGCTTGGTCAAAGAAAACCACAAAGTTGGTAAACTAAACAAATGTCATGCTGTATATTTTGTAAATAAGTGATTGATTGACTTTTAATAGTTTTTTTTTTTTTTTTTTTTTTTTTTTTTAACTTCGGTTAGAATTTTTAAAGGTGGTGTGGCTACTGGCTTCAAACACGTCACTCCCGAGCAATACAAACCCCGCCTCTTGCTATTCCATGGAACAGGTAAAAACATCACAGTGAAACAGGTGAGTATTTGCATTTGTTTATTTATAAATACGAGGGTGCTGAAATTTTCTCGGCCCGCGCAAGCAACCCATAAAAGAATCTGTTGTTTGGTTAAATTTTAATAAGTGTGTTGGACCGAGAACTTTTTAACACTCATTTCTATTGGATTGTTGAAAAGTTGCCAGTGTGTTCTCGGCATATATTCATACCATCATTATTTCAGCATCAATGTATTTTTCATTCCTTTGTATAATCTTCTTCTACTTTGTAACTGTACTGTGTATTCCACCATAGAACAATTTTGGTCTTTAATTTGAAGGGTCCTTCGAGCAGGTTTTCGATATCTTGACCTTCTTGGAACTACTAACCAGACAAGGAATGTTGCCAGCAGTGAAACAAGTGGATGACATGAAGTTGACAGTCTTTGAAAATGTGAACAAAAAATTATCATTCAGTGATCATTCGCTGCATAACATTTGCAACATGCGTTACCACACAGCAAAACCAACTTTCGACTTCTTTGCCCAGGAATGCGTCATTCAAACAAGCCAATTGCACGCTACCCCACTGTGCAGAATCACTTTGATTACCACCAAACTCAGAGAAATATTAGCCCGCGCCTTGCTAGTAGATTTTATTTAGGTGGAAATGTTCATAAGCAGCCTGGGAACTAACCATGGATTATTTTCATTTTGGATTCTTTTAATAAATCACCAATTTTTATCCCCAGTGACCATCTTGTCTGAAAATAATTTTTTTCCATGCTGAGCAACAGGAGACTGACAATAATTTAAGAACTGATCCAGTTCATGTCGGATCAATTTTCATAGCTTCAGAGTTTTTCCTTACAACGGTTGACTGATTTCACAGACAGAGTCACTAGCCACGCATCATTATGTAAAGATGATCAGAGAGTTGGTAAGATTTCTTGTTGGTTGAAGAGAAAAAGTCTGAACTATCAGAAATTGTTCCCAAGTGTCAACTATCCATCCATCCATCCAAACCGTCCAAGAGAAAGCCGGTAAAAAACAACGAAAGATATTGGAAACAGTTTTCGCCTTCATTTCTCGCTGTAGCATTAGGGATTTTATTTGGGGGTGTTTTTTCACCATTCGTTTTCTTGTAAGCATGCAGTGGGCCTTTCCCAGCTTTTGTGCACACCGACGCGAATGAGAATACAGACGCAACGTGGAGTTTCATTGTCCTATCGGTAAAAATATGAGATAGGTCCCCATTCCATGTTTACGTAATAATGACAATATTTTAACCGAGTAATTAGGTTTCCATATTCCTTCTTTTAATTATATAATTTTAATTCTGAAATAAATGGTACTTATTAAATAATTATTCTTTATGTTTTATTGAACAGACTTTTATACCGATACTATAATTTCTGTCCAGTTAGTCAAATTTTGGGCTAGTTCAAGTTTCATATTTCAAAATTCTAACTTCCCTAATCCACGTTAAAGGAGACAGTATGTTAGGTTTATTATAGGCTTATTGCTTGTCTTTTATTTTGTACGCATGTGAAATAAACACGCGACTCGCGTTCTCTCCTATTTCGTTGCCATTCTAGAAAAATGCCTTTTTGGAATCACAATTTACCTCCCTGCTCATCTGTCAGCATACACTGTTGTGAGCTACTCTTGTAAATCATTAATTGAGAGTCCGTAGCACATGTTAACATTATCGTTTTTCATATATAAAACTATTATTTATTCCTTTCCGGACATTAAATATTGGCATCAGGGTATGTGGATTAGGGAGCTTTCTTCGAACGTGGGTTTTCTTGCAGGGGTTGAGAAAATGTCATTTCCCTTTCAGACAGAGTGCTTCTATATCTTCCTGTGATCTGGTTGTCCCAAACGCAGCTCGGCTAACGACCTATTTAATTTTTAAATTCACAAAGTTTTTGTGTTACTTTAAATTCAATATAATTAAAAACTTTTAAAATCACTATTTTTTTCAGTTATTTTAAAATTTGAATTATTAACTGTTCTCTCTTTACCTGGACACAAATCCCAGTGCCAAATGTTCAAGCATCAGATGAAGGACAAATTTTCAAATCCCGTGATTATCCTGATTCAAAAAACGTATAATATGTCTGAGTAAGTGTGTCCCGAGTTAGAGGGATTTCAGACACACGGATAGACATAGAATTTGCCATTTATTTATTTAGATGAGTGTCATCAAAAAGAATTTTTTCTGATGTTGTTAGGCAGTTGTTTGTGTATCTCAAGATGCTTTATTTTATGGCTCTGAGATCATTTAAGTTGTTTGTCTTAATTTTCTCTGGTGAAGATCTTTCTTGTTGTTTTCAGATTGCCATCTCTAAAGGTCTGTCTTCTACTGACGTTTTCCTACTGGACATGGGTGTTCAGATCGTACAATGGAATGGCAGGGATAGCAACATGTTTGAAAGGAACAAAGTAAGTAAAAACGTTCATCTTTATTTAGAAAAGGATTTTACCATGCTATGACAATAAATTTCTCTCTTATTCTCATTGAATTTTTTTAATTATTTATTCAGAACCTAACCCTTTTACTGACGCTTACACCCAGTGGTGTAACCATGTTTGGTGGCCCGGTCCTCTGTGTCTTAGGACACCATTTTAACCACGGAGTTAACTGTGCGCTAGTCAATATTGATACTAGCCCAAGGTGGCTGTTTGTCACTCGCCACTTTAATCCACACCAACTCTGCCTACGTTGTGTTCTTGATCTCAGAGCGGTGGAAGATCGAACGTCATAGTAATCGAAGAGCCGGTTTGAACCAAGGCAGGCGCTATATTAAGGGAAGAAATATCTTCACAACGAAAAATAAAAACAAAAGCTTCGTTGCGTTAATCTTCAATTGGTTTATATAGTTATTGTTACAATAAAAATTAATCCTTTCCGCATCAATCTCCTTAGTGACACTGTGCCTCGTCTAAAATTGTGGTTCTTCAGAGTAAGGAGATCTGGTGGCAGCTGATATGGATTCCAGAGGTACTCGATGCGGGATTCGCAGCGCAAATCATTGAGCTCTCAGAGCTATCAGCTTATATGCAATTCGGCCCAAAGCAAGCGTGGGGCTGAAGGGTTCTGGGTATTTGGCGATTCCTCAATTTTCACCTTAATCCCAATAGGGGTTATTTGTTTCCTATTTCTGCTTTATTAATCAACTTTCCAAATTTGGAGAATTATCCACCTTCTTGGGAGTAGTTACAGGGGTTCCTCCTCCCTTCAACTCCAACTTGCTTCACTTTGCATCTCGTACCATCACGCCATAAGGTATTACTAAATTCTCCCTCTTTCTTCCTTCCTTCTCAGCATTCAACCTCAGCCTACTTCCCAGAGCAGACACACCTGTCTTTGTGACAAATCTAATTTTTGAAGCGTGTGGGCGTAGTTTTATTCTACTCATTAATTTTAATTCGCTTGATTTTTCAAGGAAAAGATAAAATTATTTCTCAATTCCTAGTCTTATCTCTGTCCAGCAAAAATATAAACCAGATCAGTGTTGACAGGATTTGTTTTCATAACTTCCACCCTATCGTACATTTGACCTCAAGGAAAAAATTTGTTCTTATTTAAATTTATAAGCGAGTGACAAAATTATTTCCCAATCTGTTTTCGTTCACAAAAACAATCCAGATCTGTCTCTCTCTTGCTAATGATATTCGTTGGATTAAATTCTCAAGGAAGAGATAAATTTAGTTCTCAATTTGTTTTACCTGCATGCCAGAATTTCGATAAAAAAAAACTTTAGGTGAAAAGAAATCCAGATGGCCTCATTTCCACCAACGAAAATTATGCAAGAGATGCTACAACGTGTTTGGCAAGAGCTGGACTACCAAATCACAGGTGGTGTGCATATTGAACATTTGTGAAGCTTTGTGAAATCAGTTATAAAATCATTTTGTTAAAATTTTGATAAATAACTCTTTTATTATTCAACATGAAGCCTATTTAATTTCATTTGCCTGAGACATATAGTTACTGAGATATTCACATTTTGAATGATGTCAATTTTGGGGGTACACTCTGTATAATAATTATTTATCAGATAACATTATAATAATTGATGATGTTCAAATTTCAGATTAATGTCTTACATTCACTTTTGGGAAAAGCAAGAAACTGTCTCTTCTACCCCCCAGCTATCGGTGAAATAGTAGAGTAGACTAGACTCTTGGGTGAAAATCAGTCCAATAGAAAAAAAAAAACTCTGAATTCCAAACCGTAGAAAAGGCAACGACAAGCCACTCCGCCATTTTTTCTCAGAATGTATGGCAAGTCACAGATAATAAAGAAAAGGAATCTGCGGAGATATGGCATTAAAATAAATAAATAACATTAATCATGCCAGCCTGTTGTAGTAAATGAGCGGGTATATGTATTTCTGTATCAAATAGAGAGTTATATGACTGAAACATTTACACGGTTTTCCATTGGTGGTAGAGGTTGGTAGGTGAGTCTAGGTAAAAGGTGGAATTTCAAAAGATGCCTTTTCTGGAAGGCAATCTCTCTCTCTCTCTCTCTCTCTCTCTCTCTCTCTCTCGAAGATTGACGCAACACAATCTTTCTATTCTTATTATTCTACCTTTTGGCCTTGTGCCATATTATGATAAACACCGTAAAGAGATTGTTTATAAGCCAGTAACACTAAAAGAAGGATGAGTTACTGGATTCAAGAAAACAAAATTGTTTTTATTAACAATAGGAATTTAGAAAATATATTTTAGTGACGGACGCGTAACAGTCATTAATGTTTTCAATGTTGTTTCTTATCTAAATGTGTGTATGGATTAAGGCCAGATTATGTTAGTGCGCCACCTGTAGCATGTTATAAAAGAGGTCTAAATTTTTTTAAAATATACATAAATATTAAATTTTAAATTATTTGCTAGCAGAGCTATAGAGATTATAAAACAGGTGAATGTTTAGCTTAATATAAACAACCCCAGAAAATATGAGGCAAATTACTCTAATGAGTAATGCTACGTAATATTCATTCATTTTTTTAATATAGTTTTTCCTTTCGTCATTATTGTTGCTTTTTAAGACAATGCCCAGGTTGGTTTTGCATTCTAGGACCGTTAAATAAATAAAAGTCAGAAACTATTTAAAAAGTAACCATTATAACTTGCTTCCTGTGTCTTTCAGATTCTGTTTAACATGGCCAGTGTTACCAATTATGTCATCAGCTTATTTAACAATCTTAGAATGCTAAAAACGATCCTAAATTTGCAATAAAAAGCAACAACAAAAAATGAAAGGAAAAACTTATCAAAACTGATAATGACAATACTTCATCTAAAATGCCTATGAAAAAAAAAGGAAACTTAAAAGATGGTAACTACTGTGATTTCTGTAAACATTCTTTTAATTTCTGCCTATCATAAATGTCTTTATTTTTGAGTGTTATGCAATTATCTCATACTCTATTTCCGATTGTGACCATAATGATGTGCCAAATGACTGAGATAGCTTAGCGGTCAGACTAAAAAACGATGTAAAAATTGGATCGTAGCTTTTCCTAAAAGCATCAAAACAAAAATAATATCAGCGATAATGATTAAAATTTGAAATCTTTTTTTCCGATTTAAATTTGAATTCCTAAATGTACAGATAAATACTTCAGAAGCTCTAGTGTGATTGAAAACCGCTATGTATTAAGTTTTAGATTACTCTTAAACTAAAATAACAGATTTTTGTCTTTTCAGGCCAGCATGTACCTCCAGCAGATAAAAGGCGAACGATCCGGAAAGTCGTCATCGGAAGTGATTGATGAAGATGAGGACGATGGAGTAAGTAATCGATAATTGATCTGTCAAATTAGATGCGGTTTACGGCTACATCACATTGAAACACCAGTTCTCATACGATCACTGAAGTTAAACAACGTTGAGCCTGGTCAGTACCTAGATGGGTGACCGCTTGGGATTACTAGACGCTGTAAGTTTAAGTGTGTGAGTAGTGAAATAAATAATGGCTTGGAATTATTAATCAGAGAGCTGAGTTCGAATTCCAGTTGGGTTTGTTATATTCACTTACACGCAAATACCCTTGGGAAACGTATGAATGGAATTGGTGTTTCAACAGGAAGTGGTCATAAGTCTCAATAAATGAATTCTGAAGAAACTAAGACTAACAAGTCACTGTTTGGTCTATCGCTAAACAAAGCAGCCTATCGAAAACAGTCTGTCAGAAAAACAAATGCCTAAATATGTACGCATGCGCAAAGAGAACAAGAAAGACGTTAATGGATATTGTTTTTTTTTTTGTTTTTACTTCCAGAAGGTCATTGATTCTTATATGAAGAAATGTGAAAACGATGACGATGATGATGACGATGATGACGACGGTATTGATGATTCTAAAATGGACATACCTAGAACAAAGAAACTTTTTAAGTAAGTCGAAAGGAAATAATTTTTCTTTTTCTTTTTTCTTTTTTTCTTTCTTTGCTAATTACTCAAGGATATCAATATATCTGTAGTAGACAAATGATGAATAAAGCATTTTTGACACGATAAATGTTCGTTTAAATTAGTAGTGAATATTAATAACATGCATCAACACATTTCTGCTGCGTGTTAGACAGAATTTCTAACAGTATTGATAAGGCCCACTCTCTACACTCGTTTGTAAATATCCTTGTGTTCGGCGATTTCACTGCCCACCATGTCAAGTGATTAATCATTATGTGACTAACCTTGACCTTGAACCTCTCTATCACTCCATCTCTCATTCAAGTAGCAGATTTCCCCACGTGTTTCTCTAGTAATGCTGATGAACATGCTTCTCTACTTGATCTCTTCCTTACCTCCACCCCGTAATAATGTTGTAGAAGACCGGGGGGGGGGAAGAAGAAAAAGAAAACAAACAAGTGATTGATATATATATATATATATATATATATATATATATATATATATATATATATATATATATATCAACAAATATATGCATTAAACAACACAATTTTACAATAAACATAGACAATAACATTTGCGTGTGTGTGAACATTTGTGTTTGTTCTTTGATGAATGTTCGTACGTACGTATATGTGTGTATAATGTTCACGGCGTCTTCCTGCAAGTGGGAAACGCTATCTTTTTGCGAGAGCTCACATTGTAGAGGTGTTCGCTGAAATGAAAAAATGAAAAAGGTTATTTATTTCTGTGCTATAACAGAAAATGTGGCACAAGGCCGAAGTGGGGAATGGGGAAGTGGTTGGTCTTCTGTCTTAACTTCTAAACTTAGCTAGCCACAAACGCTGACCCAATCATACTAACAATATTTCTTGCACCAAAACAACACATTCTTACTTACCTTTCTTACCACACCCACCTTAATACCTCAATGACTCTATGAAAATACTAACTAGACCCCATATGTACAATTCGTTGTCTGTAGGGGGAGGGGATTAAAACAACAATTTAAAAAAATAACCCCAATGAGTATTTACAGTATGAAACAAATAACTATTTACAAGAAACTAAACAAAATCGTGTTAGTAATAAAAGCCCCACAATCACTAAATATGGCAGAAACATCGGTTAACTAGACGAAATTAATGGGGGACTATAAGAAATTAAAACCATTCATTCCTCCCAAGCACTCGCACAGACATGCACTCATTCAGACACAACAACAGATACGAAAAATCACACCCGAAACGAAAAAACGCCCCGCATCCACCAGAGAACTGACGTCACTGACCACCAAACGAGGGAGGGGATGGGGAATTAAACTTAAGGAAAGATAGGAACAGAAATAAAAGGGGCCAATGAGCATACATACCCTAGCTAAGTTTACTGAAAAAGGAAACTAGATTCAAAAAACTAAACCTAAGCTAACCTAAATTTTGGGGTGGGTTGACCGTGTTCAACCCAGCTAAAGCAATATCCAGATGCCTAACCAGCATCAAAGCGCCACTCCAGGTCAGCCCCTTTCACACGACACAAACGCGCAAGATTCACCCACCTTTTGCCGAATTCAGATGAAGTGAGTCGCCGCCTTTCCGACCTAATCTTGACCTTAAGCTGATGCTTAAAGTACAAGATCAGCTGGGAAGAGGTAAACTTCTCGCCTTCATAGAATCCTTTCTGACGTGTCGTCCAAATCACGACTCTCATAACACCTAGTAAGCATAAGAACACATAGTGTTCAGCCCTCATCAACGGCGGAGCCACATTGCTACAAACAGAAGCGGCCTCAAGGACAAAGAACTTTCCAGGCAGCATGCGAACCATGAGGCCTTCGACATACTTGCACAGCGGTGCTACCACCGAGCAATGAAAGAAGGCGTGACCAATGGTCTCGACCTCCCCACTACAGCAGCGGCAATTTGGATATTTCTCCAAGCCCGCTAAACAAAGTCTTTTGGCGACCCAGAGGGCCCCACGCATCACCAGCCAGGTGAGTGATGCCTCATTGTTATTGAGATATTTTAACCCGGGCGCCCAAGGCCATATCGAGCGAGCCTCCCGCTTTGTAAGACCGCGCTCGTCAATCAAATCATCATGAACGCCCCCCCCCTAACTAACACTCGATATATTGCCTTACGAGACAACGCCTGGGCGTTGGAGAGGACATCCAACGCCCATAAGAGTCGTTTCAGAGTACTACGACATTCACGGTAGAAGGAGCATTCGGCTTTGGGTAAACGGTGAGCCTCCTCCTCGGCCGAGTGCACACTTCTCAAAGATGGGAAGTTCTTACGGGCGTCTTCCTTCCAGAAGGCGCCCACCTCATCCAGTTCGCGACACATTCGATCCAGGAACCCGATGCGAAGCATATGTTGACGAATCTCAATGCTAGGCATACCTAGACCGCCTTCAGATGGATGAAGGCAACAGATCTCCCGAGAGACTCTGGCAGCCTTGCCTCCCCACAAGAAGGAGAACAAGAACTTCATTAACGCCAGTAAAGTGTCAGACGGAAGTGGAAGCACAGAGAGTCGGTAAAGGGGAATCGGGTAGATGTGTGAAACACATACTTCCGCCCTCCCCTTTAAGGAAAGATTCCTCCGAGACCACAAATTAATTGCAATCTCGGCCTTCCCTCGCACTTCTAACCAATTCATTTCCAACTGGAGATCAGGACCGAATCAGACGCCGAGAATCTTGACCGGCCCATCCGTCCAGAGGAAAGGTCCGGGAAGAGAAATTCCCTTCCACGCACTCAACCGCAAGCCAACAGACTTATCGCGGTTGATCTTGGCCCCTGTCACCATCTCATAACCACTGATTTCTTTGCTGACTTCGTTAATCCTTGCCCTGCTCAACACAAGAACCGAAACGTCATCAGCATAGGCGGAATACCTGGGCGCGTTGGTAGCGCCAGGTAGGGAAATTCCGCGTAGGACCGGATTCGTCTTTAACTTGCGAGGGAAAGGTTCCAACGCAAGAACGTACAGCAAAGGCGAAAGCGGACAACTTTGACGAATGGAGCGAGACAATACGAAAGGCTCCAATCGTACTCCGTTCACCTCCACCAGTGCACCGGGGTCGCATACAGAAGTCGGATCCAGGTGCGAAAGTAAGGCCCGAACCCGGCCGCCGAAAGAACAGCCTCCAGAAAGTGATGGTCAACCCTATCGAAGGCCTTGGACTGATCTAAATTGATCAGCGCGGCTTCACTGTCGACTTGCTCGATGATCAAGCGTACCATATGAAGGTTGTCCCGAATAGTCCTGCCCTTCACAGCACAAGTCTATTCGGAGCCAATCAGACTAGATAGGACAGACTGCAAGCGGCTCGCTAAGACCTTAGCCAAAAACTTTAACTCTGTGTTTAACATAGTTAAAGGGCGAAAGTTACCTAACCCATCTCCACCGTTTTTATCCTTACGTAACAACTTGATTACGCCCCTGGTGAAACGTTGGTGTATAGACCTCTGCTTTACGGGATTTAATCGCCCGATCAACTTTTTGCTCACAAGCCGTTTGCACCGCTAATCTATCTAGATTGAGCCGACGACTATAATCAGCAGCAAACGTTCTAATTTTGGATTTAAGATTATCCCACCAGGCATTTCCCACCACGGCCCCCATCAGCTCCCTTTGTATCGTTAGTAGCAGCTGGTCCCGGAAATCTTGCTCCCCAAATAATGAGCAGTTCAATTTCCAGTATCCAACCATCTTAACCTTAGGCTTATCTAAGTTTACCCGAACCCGGACTAGCCTATGATCCGAATAAACTATATAATAGAAACTTGGACACCCTAAGAGCCCTACATCGACTCTCCTGACTAAGACTCGGTCGAGGTAGCTAGAAAGCATCTGAGTACCCGAGCTGCCACTATTAGTCCAAGTCCACACTACCTCCCGAGGGTGTTCATTTCGGTATTTATCGACAAGATCAAACCTATCGATAAAGTCCCGAAATGGTTTTACCCAATTTTGACCCTATACGATCTATATCGGGGTCAAGGACGACATTCCAATCCTCCGCTAAAACTACCCGACGTGATGACGCCAAGAACGGCTCGATCTGCCGAAACAAAGCAAGCCGCTCAAAATGCTTATTGGGCGCATAAACCCCAATGAGACGTAAAGCCTTATCCTTTATGGTAACATCCAGCACGCAAAGTCTGCCCGCCGGATCTGCGAAGACAAGAGCACACGCTGCCTTCAAGGACTTGCTCACCAGCCAAGAGACACCCTTCGAGCATCCATCATAACATGCTGAAAAGAGGGAAAACCCTCTAGACAGAATGCTGTCATGATCGCGAGAAGAAAAACGGGTCTCTTGCACACAATATACATCCACCCCGAGACGCTAAAGGTCACGATAGAGCCTCGCTCTTCGAGACTCGGACCTCAGGCCTCGGGCATTCAAACTAGCTAACCAGAGAGACATTGTCAGACCGATTAGGTTTGCTCTGCTGAATTAAACATGGTCGGGGAAAGGATACCGACCGCCTCTCCCATCGACCCATGGCCCATCTCAGTTTGGATGGTACCGTCTTGGGAGAGACCGCCGACATCCCAGGGGAAGGTCAATTTTAGTGCTCTATAGAGGGAGGGGTGAACGAAAATAGGGACCCTCCCAGCACAAAATTGTTTTAGCTTTTTAGCTTGTCGTTCTGTACAATCGCTATGGGAGGCGTCATTTTGAAGGAGGCTATTGCCTCATCCAGCATTGCCCAAACTTGACGCGCTCCCGTGCCAGTTCTGATGACCGTCAAAACCCGTTGGGCCTTAGGGAAATTTTTTTGATCCTCAATGTCTTTATCAGCATATTGCTTAATAGAGAGTAGATATTTAAGATTCTTGATCCTATTGCCATAATCCCTGGCTTTCTCTGCTTGAGTCGGGGAAATGCGGCAGATGTCTTCTCCACTGTTGTAGATGTGTTTGGGAAGTTTCTTTCTCTTGTCGTTTGCGTCCTGATTAGGACTTCTT